TGTGTGTGTGTGTGTGTGTGTGTGTGTGTCTCGAGGGTGTAATTGTGTGTGTGTTTTGTGTGCTGCTTCTATTTGCTGTGCTGTGATCCCACACTGCAGTTAATATTGTGTGAAAGGTGTGGGCAGTGTATGCGTTTGCAGGCTCCTGCACGGAGTTCAGCGTATTGATCCACCTCCCTTGTCTCCCTCTTTCTCTGTCAAAATCCTCTTTATTCCTTGGCTCTCCATCATGATTTGCACTACCCCTCCCATGACAGGTGATTGATCCGAGAAGCAGCGTGGTCTGACTATACTGCCCTGCAGGAAGAGTAATATTTTTTAAGTCTCTGGGTGGAGAGAACTGAGCGAGACAGAGAATATCTGAAGTGACTGAAATAGATAAATTACACAAGGTGAATATGGTGTATTTTAGGTCTTAAAGCTGCTATATTGCTTGTTCTTGCCAAGTGTAAAACCACAAAGGAGGTTATATTCAATTMGGCAAACCATTTCAACAAAGTATGAGTACTGAGCCTTTGTATTTGGATTACAAGCATTACAACATGRCATCACAACCATTACAAGCTCCTGACAATCTGTTACACATGTAGATTAAATCAGAACAATTTTAAACTGTCTAATCAAACATAACATGAGAACTTTTAACTAAAGTTTCTGTCATAAAACTCCAATCCAAACTTTCAGTTTCAACCACTTGATAGAAAGGAATTAACTTTCTTCAAGATGGCMATGTTATWGTWCTTGAGACCGGTCTTGATCTTGTYTGGGACTTGACATTTGTGCTTGGTCTTGTCTTGGTCTCGGACATTAAGGACTCAGAATTTTATTTCAAGACCAGTCAAAACCACAATTGTGGAAATATCACTAAATAGCCAGATTATTGTCCAATTTATTCTTGCTTTTATTGTATTTAAAATGTAGCTACTGATTCAAATTCAAACCTGACTCATTGTTATTTATGTATTTTTTTGTTACGGGCTGTCACCCCCCTTCAATTGCACTSCAGGAAAGTGAAACATGCTTCTTTGGGAGTGGTAGAAGATGTCTGCTAAATTTTAAATAAAACTATTTGGCTAAATAAACAATATCATTGTAAAACAACAACAACCAGGAAAAAGCATACAGCAACTCTGAAATTTGGTAGTGCTTCACTTTTAGAGACGGTGGGGACAACGTCAAACCTTTATCGTCAATAACCCAATAAAATCACATGATCTACAAAAGACAAGGATGAGACCTCACCGTTTCCCAACCAGTCTCCTTCTTCACCATGGATGGGAGACAAGGGAGACCAGGCAGTCTTAGTTGAGTCTAACCCACAATGGAAACTAACTTACTGGTAAATTTGGATGGTGACACAGCTCTTGGTTATACAGGGACCTTCAAGGCCASCAAAGTGACACCAGCACACAAATACTACCACATTCAGCTGCACAAAATGCCTCCAGAGACATGGTTTAATGCCCTCTTCAGATCCAAAAAACACAGGCAGACTAAACAACCAAACTCCCACAAGTCCTTCAGCAACTCTGGAAGGGTAAAGACTTGGTCCATTGCTCCACAATCCAGATAAAAGTTGTTATTCTGAAACTTTAATATCGGAACTGTTGATAAATTGCCATCCTTGTGTAAAAAATAACTATTTTGCGCAAGAAAAAATTAATTGAGGGCTGGACATAAATGATAAATGAGATTCCCTGTTTGAAAGAGCTGCAAAGAGAGAAAATTRAAAAAGGAAAGAAAAATTAAAGACCGTTGGAGCTACAGAGGTTGGGAGATTTTTAGAGAGACACAGAGAATCTGAAAACAAAAAGGTCTACAGAAACAGCAGAGTGAGCATCAAGCCTCTAAAGGGAATTTAAAAGCACAAGGAGGAAGAACTGAGCTCAAACTATTGACAGAGTCTGTTTCCATGTGGCTCCAAAATAGTTTTTGCTGTTGAATAAATCATGTACTGCTTCTCCTTTTTATATTTTCAATCTTGTTTCCACCAAAATGCTTACTTTGGAAACATCCGTTTGGGAACACAACATGTGAAAGATGTTTCAGCTGAACTAAAACTGAAATGACAGAAAATGCTATTAAAATATGACCTTTTACAAGCKGTGTATAAAAAGCTAGTGCTTTACAGATAATCAAAAATTAGGGCTTTTCGCTAACAGGTACATTTACATTTAACTAATTAACTGTAATATGTTGTTACTTCTTCAAATGCAATACATTAGAAGTAGCATACCTTAAAGGAACACAGTTTTTGATAACAAATTTTAGCTGAATTAGACTGAGTTGTAACCATTTTGTGTCTGCTAAGGTTAATTTCCTCTGGAATTGTGTTGCCACCAAAAGTTAATCAGTTGTAGATGTACATCCAATAAATACTTTCTGTGAGTTCCAACAAAATCAGAGAGCTGGTTTGCAAGATATATATATWTTTTTTAAAAAAGACAAAAAACAAATGCACACACAAACTGAAAATTACGTTTGCTCACTTTTCATAGCAGCATGTGGCAATAAATTACAACAGACACTGCAAAACAAGCTATGACTGAAGTACAGTACACTAAAGTTCAACCGTCCATCCATTTTCCTTAACCTCTCTCCTTTCCTGGTTGGAGGGAACTGGTGCCTATCAACAAGAGTCACTGTGAGATGTGGGGTACACCTTGAACAGGTTATAAGTCCATCCCAGCACTCATGCAGAACTTT